TGATTAACTTGGTTGGGAAACAGGGAAATGTAAATATCTCTTTTGCTTCACTTGATGGGTGTGTGGTGGAAGGCAAGGGGAGGAATTGGGCAGGGTCCAGGATGCTCAGATTACTGCCACCAGACCTCCCCTTTCATGATGTAACTAATGATGTATTAGTGATGTAGTTTGGGGGGAGGGATGTAACATGGGGATTAGCAGCTAATAAAACTTTGGGTCTCTTTTGTTTGGGGCTTCCATCTTGTTTCACCTGGTGGCAGGTGGGAGTCCTGTGGCAACAGTCTTCAATAAAGGCTGCTGTTTGCTCTGGTATTCCTGGCTGGTGTCCTTGTTTTTTGTCCAAGGGAGCCCTCAGATTTCTCTGTTAACAACTCCATACAGCTAATAAACATGGTCAAACAGTAGTTTTGCATTCCAAACATTCATAATTTCTTGTTGCTAACACATGAGCTTTCAAAGTTATATGATCAGCACCCCTCAGTCAGCTGCACAGCAAGAAAAAGCTAAAGTGACTGAAAAGTTTTAATTGGTGACTGTTTTCCCAGCACTATTGCTTAAAAACTGGTTGGTAATGCTGGTAGTTGTTATAAGAATTCTAAGGTCCCAAATATAAAATAAACATTCATAAATGTACAAGGCAAACACATACATAAGTATATAAGCCACGTGTCTGAAATAGTACAGGAGAGCAGTCCTGAAGTCATTTTGACTCTCCCAAACCATTTTGACTCTCCCAAATTGACCTCAAATATTTCTCTGCAAGGAGGAAGAAATGAGAAAGCCTCTCCATTGTCTTTTGCTTACCTGTCTTAAGGGTGTATTTGTGTATGAATAGGGTGAGCCTGTGACCTGGATACAGGAATTAAAAAGCATTTACCATCACAAAAGAATGGCCAGGCTGCCCAGGTAAAGCAATCAGTGACCATTGTCAGGTATCCTGGCAGACAGGATTTCTGCTGTAGACCGCCTCCTGTGATGTATTTCTGCAGGAGACCGCTTCCTTCTGTGATGTATGTATGATGTTTTTTGGGGTGGTCTTGAGCTACAGAGTGGGCAATTTCGAAAGTCTATATAAGGACTTACACACCATCGTTCTGGATTCCTCCTCCCTCCTGTGTGGGATAAGCGGGGGAGCCTGTTCCAACAGTTTAATAAAGATCAAGCTTACTAACTGCTTTGCTTCTCAATATACTCTGGTTGGCCTTTGTTATTTTCTCCTACCAATAAGGCACCCACTTAAGGACTCTATATGGGCTCTTGGGTACCCCATAAGGGAAAAAGAGCCATTTTTTCTTATAACATAGTGAAAGCAGAGGTTTTGCCATTTCTCTCCTGTCCCTGAAATCATGTGCTTGTGTTGCAAATACATTGCAATTTTAAATTTTTGAGGGCAGGCCTACTTGTTATGAGGCAAAGATGTGATTCCTAACCTTATAATATTAACGGAGGAGCACTCACAGAGCAGAATCAGCAAGGAGGGGGGTGGCTAATCCTCTCCTGCTCACAGCTTCTCTCCCACCACCCTAGATATTGTTCCCTTAGCAGGATCTCCTTATTCAAAGACAAAATAATCACTATTTGGAAGGGGGTAGGCAGGTGCCTGGGAAGAGGGGAGAAATGATAGATGTGGGAAGGGGTTGAATGCCTTCTCTCTTATTTTACCACCAACTGCCTAATCTGTGTTTGGGAAACACGCAGTCCTGTCCTCAATACAACAATAATCTGAGCAGGGGGGGAATGCATTACTTCCTCCAGGCTGCTTGGAGGGCTGTAGCACACGTGCTGAAGGCACAGGGTCTCTAGGTCCATCTTCGGCATCACCAGGGCCTGAGACCCTGGAGAGCTGCTGCCAGATTGACTCACGGTCTGACTCAGGGTGTACTCGCACTGCCTTAGACAGCAGTGAAAGTTGCTGGGGTTATGTTTTATGCATTTCAGAGCTCTTTCTTCCTCGTGCTGTTCACATCAGCACAACGTCCTTTCATTTCCTCATGTGTACAGACCAGGGGACACTGACAGAGCAAGGATGTCTTTATGCAAAGGTGTTTACACATTGGCTTAGACTAAGGTTATTAGACGTCCCCATTTGCCGGGGACAGTCCCCGGATTTACAAATCAGTCCCCTGACAAAATGCATCTATTTAGTAGGAAGTTGAAAAGTGTTCCCAGATTCATTGAAAAAAATCTGGTAACCTTAGCTTAGACCAGGGGTCAGCAACGTTTTTTGAGGCCAGGCCAGTCCACTCACCGGCAGACCTCTCAGTGGGCCGGAGCATGCGCACCCATGTGTGCGCTCAAGCTATTTCCGGCACACCTCCAGGACAGAGGAGAACCCATGCACACACTATTTCCAGCACTCTACCGACTGGGAAGTCAGTCCCCACGGCAAGAAAAAAAATGGCGCCGCGGGGGGGGGGAGCACAGAACCCCCATGCCGATCCACGGAATGGCAATGGGCCAGTTCCAGGAAGCTCATGGGCCGGAAGCGGCCCATGGGCCTTAGGTTGCCAACCTCTGGCTTAGACAGCTTAAGGTTGGAAGGTGGTGTTAGGCTGTATGCCTCAGTCCCTTTCAATTCTTGGATCCAGCAAGTGTAACCCCATCAAGAGCAGGCCACCTCCCAGCCATCTAGTCTAGGGAGCCCACCCACTAAGAGTGCCACAGTCTGATCTGGATTGAGCTTCAGTTTGTTGGCTCTCATCCAGTTCATTACTAGTCCATTACTAGTTCAAGTTACTAGTCCAGCACTTCCACTGCCTCACCTGCAGATGTAAAGGAGAAGCAGGGGTGAGTGTCATCCGCATACTGCTGACAACATACTCCAAACCTCTGGATAACCCCACCCAGCAGTTTCATGTAGATGTTAAACAACATGGGGGATAGGACTGAGCCCTGCAGAACCCCACATTGAAGTTTCCACAGAGCTGGAAAGCATTCCCCAAGCAACACCCTCTGGGAATGACCATCTAAGTAGGACTGGAACCACTGCAAAGCAGTGCCACCTACCCCTAGTTCAGACAGCCGCTCTAGAAGGATACCATGGTCGATGGTATTGAAAGCCGCTGAGAGGTTGAGAACAATTAACAGGGACATGTTTCCCTTGTCTCTCTCTCGACAGAGGTCATCATATAGGGTGACCAAAGCAGTTTCTCTGTGAAAACTGGGCCTAAACCCAGACTGAAATGGATCTAGAAAATCAGTTTCCTCCAAGAACACCTGGATTAATGAAGTTTAACTATGGTTAGGCATGCTGTCTGAACTGGCACATAAAGTTTGTGACTCAGCTTTCACACCAGAAATCATCTTTTGAAATGAGTTTTAATTATGGTTTATGCATTATTGACAATCAATTATTATGCATTAGTGACAATCAATAATGACAAGCAGAGGCAGCTGCTGCACCATGGAGATGGGTGTAAACTTTTCAACTGAGTACTGACAAGATGGAGAAGGGAAGTAGTTGTAATTTGTGATTTAGACCTGTATTTCTTAAAGTTTTGTACTGTTCTAGATTCTGATTAAGACAACACTTTTAATAAAGTGAGCTCTGTCCCATGAACACTTACATCACAATATATTTGCTAGTTTTTAAGGTGCCACAACAACCTTTGCTATTTTTGTGGTGACAGTAACACAGCTATTCCCCCAACCTCCAAGGAATTACATATACTGGTAATTATAACCTGGAGCACAAGCAAATTTCTGCTTTGGAGGCTGTATTTCGTCAAGGCCTCAAATACTAAACTTTTGATATGTAGCACCTTGCTCTTCTTTTACTTGATGTCATGGACTGGCTGGACACAGAGGAATTGTGGGAGGCATCAGCTGAGAGCCTGGGGAGTAGTGGTGGGAAAATAATGAGTGGTCAGAGGGAGAAGACTGGGAGGAGGAGGAGGTATCCAAAACTGAAGGGGCAACAGGGTTTAGTGAGCAGGGAGAGTCTGTGGCACAAAGAAGCCCAGAAGCAGAAGTGGAAGCAAGAGAGGAAACTATTATGTGTGATTTTGTTTGTTGAGCCTTCAATTCCGCCATCTCGCAAGATTTGCATCTTAGCTGATACTTTTAACCATGTTTAGAAACTTGAACGTTGGCATTTCTGCTGTTCCAAATGCATTTCAAAATATTGAACATTATTGATTTGCCAGATTTCCATGGTTTGACAACTGATGTCTTTTCATCTTGTTTGGGGCAACATTGGAATCTGAAAGCTTCCTGCCACAGATCAAACACATAGGCTGAGAGATATTTTCATCTCCAGCCCATGTAAAACTGGGGCTCAGATAGTTAGCCATATATTGTCCACAAACTACCTTTTTGGAGGTTTGCTCGGTGTCAAATTAAGCAAGTCTTCTCTAGCACGCTATTTGAATGGTGATTCCGGATCACAACTAGGATTTTCCTCAGTATTACTTGATGTTTTTTCTCTCCCTCTCTCATTTTTGAAACATATATATTCTAGATATATGGGGCAGAATGCAATTATTATTAATGGGGAGAATCTCAGTGATAAAAATGAATATTCTCCCAAAAAGGTTTTTATTCCAAACAATTCCAATACTTAATGAAACATGATAAAAGTGACCTATGTTGGAAATGTAAGGAAGCAACTGGCACATTTTATCATTCATGGTGGTAGCACAAAAATGGAGAAGAGATGCAGTCCCGTCACGAGAAGACTGGCACCTTAAAATACGGATAGAACTTGCCAGCATGACAGTTTAGAAAGAGGATCGTTCTGGGCTGCTTCTCCGCGGGTCCCCCGCCCGCGCCAGAGAGTGTGACAGCCAGCTCCGTCGTCCTCTGCCCGCAAGGCAGAATTGCGCCCCTGGACACGGCCAGAGGATGGCTGCTTCTTCCTGCCTGCCCTTTGCTCTGCCCTCCCCCGAGCTCCCCTTCCTATCCCCTCGGAGCCGGCGGCTCCTCTGCCCCAGCTCGGGGGGTGTTGCTTCTCCTCCCTCCCTCCCTCCGTCGGGGGGCCGCGCAGGGCGACGCCTGCCTACCTCCACCTCGTCCTGCCTTGCCCGGTGCATCGCGCGGCGAGAGGCTCTGCCCGCCCGGGATGGTCCGAGGGGGCGACGAGGAGGGCGAAGCGCGCAACGCCCAGCCCAGCCCAGCCCAGCGCGCCGCCGCCGCTTTCACTTTCGCTCTGCGCGGCGCCGAGAGCCCGCCCCGCAGCAGGGCCGGAGCGGCCCGCTTCCCCGTCGCCCGGAGAGGGAAGGAGAGGCACTTGGAGGCCAGCGACCCCGCTGCAAGTCGCCGCGGAGGCGGAGGAGGGCGGGCTGCAACTCCTCTCCTCGGCGCCCCGACATTCAACAGGGGCAGCTTCCCTTCTGCTACCTCTTGAATTGCGGCTTTCTAGTCGGCGTGTTTGTGCTTCGCGCGACTAGCGAAGTCGCCTCTCTTCCTGCGCCGAAACTTGCCAGCAATTAGGCTGTTTCCTTTCTTCTGCTTCGCACCCTCAGCTCCCCCCCCCCCATACGATTATCAATTCCTGTATTGTTTCTTGAATACACTGAATACATTGATTACATTTGTTAACCCACTCTTAGTCCCAGGAGCTTCGGACATCACACCTTGTTCTGACTCCTCTCCAGACCCCATTTATTGCCCGAACAACCCTATGAGGTAGGCTAGGCCGAGAGATAGCTGTCACTGAGTTTCATGAAGGCTTCATCAGAATTTGAACTTGGGTCTCTCTGGTCCTAACACAACATGCTGTTCACAATAGCATCCTGGGTCTTTATTTTGTTTTTAATTCACCCTACGCAAAACAAAATATTAATTGCCCTTCAGTCAAAATTCCAAGTTTTATCACACACAGAGGAAAAGGAGGAGGTTGAGTCATCCTTCTATTTAATTATTTTTCATTGCCTATTAGAATCATGCATATCTACTCAAAAGTAAGTCACATTGGTTTCAGTGGACCTTACTCCCATGAAAATGTGTCTAGGACTGCAGTGAGCATTTAATTTAGTATGGTGTTTTATCTCCCACTTTGCCTTTTAACTGGCTTACAGTGGTACCTCGGGTTACATATGCTTCAGGTTACATACGCTTCAGGTTACATACTCCACTAACCCAGAAATAGTACCTCAGGTTAAGAACTTTGCTTCAGGGCGAGAACAGAAATTGTGCGGCAGCAGCAGGAGGCCCCATTAGCTAAAGTTAAGAACAGTTAAGGTTAAGAACGGACCTCTGGAACGAATTAAGTACTTAACCCGAGGTACCACTGTATTTTGTTATAGTGCAGGGACGCGGACTTATAAAAAATATTGGGGGGGCCCAGGAAAGCTCATGAATAATAAATAAGCTCATGAATATGCAAATAAAGTGGCGCCGCCTCCTCGTGAGCGAATAGGGGAGAGCGTGCTGCGCCTATTAATCAGCTCCAAAGGAAATTGGGTGGAGCTTTTGCTCGGGAGGGAGGGCAGGAGGCATGCAGCCCGCCCCTCCCTGTGCATTTTGGGCTGGGGGAGGGGCGGCGATGGCGCTCTGCTGGAGGGGCGCCGGAGATTATTGGGGGGGCGGAGCCCCCCCAAACGAATTTTTGAGGGGGCTCGGGCCCCCTCAAGCCCCATGGAGTCGGCGCCTATGTTATAGTGTACATGATGCATTGTATATTGTTAGCTGCCTTGGAGAGGTAGAATTTTACTAAAACTTTGAAAATCATTTTTATTAGTTTTCAATTACAACAGTCCAGTAATAGCCTCATTACAATGCCAAATTATAATACAATTAACAATACTAATCATTGAGATGCCAAATTATACAATTAGGTGGCCCCCCCATACTGGAATTAATGGTTTGATGATGTTTCTGCGTTCCAAACTCTTATAAATTTCAGTTACGCTCCAGTCCAAATATCAATCCTTTGTATGGCAGCTGCAGTTTTAATGACTTCCATTCATAATGACACGTTGAATGATTTCTGCACCTACAGATGAAGCATTCAAACTCTCCTTTCTGTGTGTGGCAATTATTCCATCCATAGTGTTTCTTCCTGTTTCTACCTTGATTCTCAGACTTAATCCATTCCAGAAGTCCATTCCAAAACCAAAGTGTTCCAAAACCAAGGCGCACTTTCCCATAGAAAGTAATCCAGACTTTTAAAAACAACCCCTAAAACAGCAATTTAACATGAATTTTACTATCTAACAAGACCATTGATCCATAAAATGAAAGCAATAATCAATGTAATATACTATAAATTAAATAAGACAGTATTGTAGATGATAAAACTTAAAATTAGGGTTTTTTTCTTACCTACTGTGATGGGATGATGAGCTGCTTGTGCGTAAAATCCTAGTCCCTCAGAGTTTGGCCAAGTCCACAAACCTCTGCCTACGACGGAGCCCCTCAAGCATGGCTCCGTCAGTCGCTAGCAGAATCCGACAGTGGGCGCTTACGGAATCTCTTCCAGCATAAAAGCTCCTTAACGGAAACACGTCTTCTGGACTCTCTGCGCGACAGTTTCCGGCGAGGAGTGGGTGTCCCTATAGGAGGTCCTGAAACCTCCCCACTATTTTCGCTGGAAGTGTCCCTGAGCCATCCCTCCGACTCACTTTCCCTTGGAGTTCCTTCTCTCCCCCTGCTGGTTCCCTCTTCAGCTGCTAAGTCTCTCTCAACCTCTGTGAGCCCTTCCACCTCCTGTCCTTCCGATGGCAGTTCCCTGACACCTACATTGGTGATATTCATTGTTTGGATGTAGGGCTTTTATCCATTTCCGCAGTCAATCAATCAATCAATCAATCAGTAGCTGAACTGGGTTCTACACAAAACACAAATTAACGGAAAAAGCCTCAAAAACAAAAATGCAAAATAAATAGCAAAAACAAAAGTGCCAAACTTAATCTGTTCCGGAAGTCCGTTTGACTTCTGAAATGTTTGAATACCAAGGCGCAGCTTCTGATTGGTGCAGGCGCCCTGGAAACAATAGCTGACAGCCACACCGGATGCTCGACTTCCGAAAAACGTTTGAAAACCAGAACAATTCCGGGTTCAGCATTTGGGAACCAAGGCGTTTGACTACCAAGGCATTTGAAAACCAAGGTACCACTGTATTATGTCTATCTTTTGTCAGTTGTTGCTGTTCTCCAGCATGGAGGTCCTCAAGACAAACCTCCCTGCTCAATGTAGGCTTTGCAGTGCAGGATGCAACTACAGCATCCCTGACAGCTGGCCATCCTGATGCCTTTGCTTAAATACCTCCAGTAAAGTAGAGCCCACCACCTACCAAGGCAGTCTGTTCCATGGTTTAACAACTCTTACCTTTAGGGACTTTATCTTCCTTCCTTCCTTCCTTCCTTCCTTCCTTCCTTCCTTCCTTCCTTCCTATCCCTCTCTCTCTCTATCCACTGGCATGTTCCAGCATGCAGTTCAAATGTCACTGTTCTGTAGATAATAAAGATGAAAATCAAAACCTGATAATGTCCATATTTTGACACCCTCAATTATTCCCCCTTAACAAATTTTCAGTTTCCACAAAATAATAGGGCCCCATTTGCATGAAACATTTAAAAAAGTATATATAATTTGATGGCTGAGCTTCTGGGGGATGGATGTCCTTCCTCCTCCTCCACAGGTTGCAAGCCATCGGATTGCTTGTCTAAAATTCTTTAGTAATATCAAATAAGGGGACGCGGGTGGCGCTGTGGGTTAAACCTCAGCGCCTAGGACTTGCCGATCGCATGGTCGGCGGTTCGAATCCCCGTGGCGGGGTGCGCTCCCGTCGTTCGGTCCCAGTGCCTGCCAACCTAGCAGTTCGAAAGCACCCCCGGGTGCAAGTAGATAAATAGGGACCGCTTACTAGCGGGAAGGTAAACGGCGTTCCGTGTGCTGCGCTGGCTCACCAGATGCAGCTTGTCACGATGGCCACATGACCCAGAAGTGTCTGCAGACAGCGCTGGCTCCCGGCCTATAGAGTGAGATGAGCGCACAACCCTAGAGTCTGGCAAGACTGGCCCGTACGGGCAGGGGTACCTTTACCTTTACCTTAATACCAAATAACGGTTTTTGTTTTGTTTGCTTTAGAGCGTGGAGATTTACTGCCAGTCTGAGTCAGGATTAGTATGGCTAGAATGGTCTATATTGATTTCTGCAATGTCTGCATTGTGATATACTGCAGGCTTGCTCAATAGTTCTTCCATAAGGTCTTAGAGGATCACAAGTGTGTTGAACCAAAGGTGAACTGTTCCAGAAGCTTTTCTAATGCCATCTTGGTAGTCAATATAATTCCAACATTAATTGGTAGTTGTTGTAGCAATGAGCTCATATGTGTTTATATTTACTTGCTTTGATATACACTAATTGGCTTGCTTTGATGCTATCCTTACCTGTGGACTTGGTGTAGGAATAACGAGGGCGACAAAAGGTTGGATGCAAGTGAGCTGTGCAGGAGCAAGCTGAAAAGCCAGCCTTGTGGAGCCTCTTTTTATTGGAAAAAGAGGTAGTAAAACCACTCTGAACTTTAATATATTCCATCTAAACACATTCTGAGCATTAGCAGGTGTTTCCCATAGGCGTTGTGAAAGTGGATTCTGTCTGTGTTCCTTGTTATGCTTTAGCCAAGCGTTCTGTCTAGTCTAGTAAACAGATCATATGAAAGGGCAAAAGGTCAGGGGGGAAACCCTGTCTACTTGCCAAGAGGCCACAAGTTCATGGAGCGTGGATGCAAGGCTCCTTGACACGCTGTGGCATGCCAGGTGTGAGGTGTGCCTCAGCACAAGCAGAGCCTTACCTCCATAGCTCCAAAAGGCCAGTACTGTATAAAGGACATGGAGCCTGCTATTGCTACAAAGGTGTTAGGCTTTTGTGAACTCCAAGTTTGCGCACTATGAAAAGATACTTGCTACAGTGAGAAAGGGAAGGAGTGATGCCCAGCAGATTGCCAGACAATGTTCTGGCTACTGGCTAAAGCTGTGTCTGAGCATTCAACTTGCTGCTAACACCGGCAACACTTGCAAAATGTACAATGAAGAAAGCCTTTGGACCAATTGTCCAAAACACTGCACTGCTGAAAACCATGTCTGGAGAGATCATCACAGACTGCAGCAAGCAGATGAAGCAATGGGCAGAGCACTACCAATAACTGTCCTTGCAGAGAAACATGGTCTCTGA